GCTTTTGTGGTTGGTTTTATGACCACACAATCCTGTTCTTCCCTAACCAGTACTTTAATGAAAGTGGTATGGATAGTGCAGCTGGTCATATTTGGAGAAATCTCCCAAATAACAAATTTACATGTTTTAGATTCACTATAAAATTCTTGCAGTCAGACTGTGTTTTGGATTATTTGGTCTGAAAGATGTCTAGTGATTTGGTTAGTGCTGAAAAATTAATTTATCTGGAATAAAATCACTGGGTCATTCAGCTAATATTTGAGCATAGGTTGTGATATATAGGTCTATAAAATTAGATTCTTCATAGTGTTCTGTGGAGCTCATCATGGTTCCTATATGAATGTTGGGAAATGACTTTAGAATTAACCCTAGAGATTAATTGCCTGCGTTTCTCCTTACAGGAAGATGAAGGAGAAGATGACTAATGAACACTGATGGATTCCAACCTTTTTTAATTTCCTCCAGTCCCTGGGAGCAAGTTGCAGTCTTTTTTCTTTTTCTTTTTTCTCCCCCTCTTGTGCTCAGTCGCCCTGTTTTTGAAGTCTCTTTTCTCTCCTTTACACCATGGTTCTCACCTTATTTGGGGGGGATGTACCTTGAGCAGAATACAGTGGGAAAAGAATCTTTGCCCCTTTCTGTTCCAAATTCATTTTTATCCCTTCCTGTCTCAAGAAAAACTTAATGGAATCAACACCACCGTGCTCTGTGGGAAAAAAGAAAAACCTTCTGCTCCCTTAGCTCTGCTGGGAGCTGGAGGTGGCTAGGCCCCTGTGTAGTAGTGCATAGAATTCTAGCTTTTTTCCTCCTTTCTCTGTATATTGGGCTCAGAGATTACACTGTGTCTCTATGTGAATATGGACAGTTAGCATTTACCAACATGTATCTGTCTACTTTCTCTTGTTTAAAAAAAGAAAAAAAAATTTTAAAAAAAGGGGGGTTATAGAAGGTCAACAAAGGGTGGGTTTGAGATGTTTGGGTGGGTTAAGTGGGCATTTTGACAACATGGCTTCTCCTTTGGCATGTTTAATTGTGATGTTTAACGGACATCCTTGCAGTCTAAGATGACACTTTTAAAATAAAATTCTCTCCTAATGATGACTTGAGCCCTGCCACTCGATGGGAGAATCAGCAGAACCTGTAGGATCTTATTTGGAATTGACATTTCTCTATTGTAATTTTGTTCTGTTTATTTTTAAATTTTCTTTTTGTTTCACTGGAAAGGAAAGATAATGCTCAGTTTTAAACGTTAAAAGTGTACAAGTTGCTTTGTTACAATAAAACTAAATGTGTACACAAAGGATTTGATGCTTTTCTCTCAACAGATTTCAAGTTTGACTTGTATAACGTATTGTCAAACTTGGTCAACTCCATATTTTATACGCACTTTGCAGGAGGATCTCAGGGCTATGTGGACTGAGTAAAGGGGTTTGAATCCGTGTATTAATGTCTCCATAGCTGGGAAACATCATGAGTACAGTTTGTTACCAGTTTCTGAAAATTTTCAAATCATTTGGAATACCAGATTGCTCAAACTTAGTTCTGAGTATGTTGTACCTTTAGTTTTGTATATCAAATTGGCATTTTTAAAAATGGGTCTATATTTACCTGGATATAATAACAGTGCCTGCCACCACCACCAGACAGACCTGGTGCTCTAATGCCGAGTTACACACGGGGCTATTGCTGGCGTGTCTTCGTTGGCACTATAAAGGCGGCCCAGAAGACAGGCTCGCAGAGTAAGAAGTCCATATTGGTGGTTAAGAAACTCAGGTTAGGCGTACTTTTGTCTCAAGTACCAGCTATTTAGCTTACCGTTCTCCAATGAGACCCGTCTGTGAATCTGGGCGAGATGATGGACTGTTTGCTAGATGCCATTGTGCATAGAACAACATTATGAGAAGCTACCTAATGCCTAAGCTTTTTAATGCTGTAAAGTATAGTAGCTGAAATTAAATGCCAGTTAACTTTTTCAGAGATGAATTAATGGACAGCCTGGTCAAATTCAGAGCTATTGGATGTATAAAACATTTTATAAGTGGAACTATTCCATCAATAGGCAAAGTGTAATAAAACCTATCTAGATGGATAGTATGTAATTTCTGCACAGGTCTCTGTTTAGTGAATAAATACATCACTGTATACTGGTCAGGAATCTTGCTCCAATAAAGGAACATAAAGAGTTTTTTGACTGGGGTCATTCTCCTTGTTTTGTAGAGAAATGTTTCTTGCATTTGGACTTAGATGATAAGCAAGTTTTTTGTCTTATTTGTGTTCATAGTGACAGGAAGTGGGGAAAATGTTAAATAGTTAAGCAGTAAGTAGAGCACAGGCAACAGCTACACAAAAAGGTATGTATAAGACACAGAAAAAGGACTTAATTGGAATATAGCAAGTACCTGAGGGGTGGGGGAAGTCACTTTAATTAATACACATCAAGGAAGCCTGTGGTTTTTTACAGTTACACCTCACCAAAACTGGTTTTTATGTACTGGTGAGATTGTGGTATGGCTAGGTTATAGGTCACATGATAACATTTTGTGAATTAAATAAAGTCACTAAAGGTAACTTCTTCCTATTGAGATTCCCCTATGCCTGCAAATCTTGTATAGTGTTAGGCTGTGAGTAAACTGGCAACATTAGGGTACTGGAAAACGGCTACAGAGTAGTGTGTGCTTTGTGCCCAATAGCAGAGAGTTCTTGGATTGGCCCTTAGGCAAGTATATATTGGAAAGTGCTAGATGGATGGCTCAAAGCTTCTTTGGTACAAGGACATTTCAAAGCTGTTTAGTTTCTCCCTAAATTGATATGCTCAGTTTAGGAGGGGAACTTAACTAATGAATTGGAGCATAGAGGCTAGTAGCTTGTAATGTGTCTTTACATTAATTTCAAAACCTTGAGGTTCTATTTTAGAGCATCCCTCCAGTTAAGGTTAACCTTGGTTTCTCCAATGATGCCCTGGTTTCTAGAAGATTATTCCCTGACCTACGTAAACAGGCCCTCACTATTTCACCCAACCCTGGCTCTAAAATGCAGAGTTTAATTGGTCCACAGAGTACTTGGATGTCCTGTTGAGCTGACAAATTTGCTTTTCTTGGGCTAGCTGTTCGGCTATAAAAGGTATGACCTTTTGGGTATTTAGAGGATTCCTGGACAGTTGTGTTTCCGAATTAATCTGGCAATCTATCATTCTACTTTATGGCACAATGGCTTCATGGTTTCTCTTGGTCCCAGAAACATGTTTTTTCTGCCTTTGTTTGTTACATTCTATGATTATTTTTTGGCTATTTACAAGAATGGAATTCTGTTGTAAAGGGTAAAGGAGACTCAGGATTTCCTGAAGATTGAGTCAAGATCTTCAGGAGTAGTCTACAATTGTTTAAAGAGGACATCTTGCCTAGCTAGTGTTGCTCCTCGACCAGTGAACCAGGAGGTCATGTTTACATTCCCAGTTTTGGGCTCGGTCCCTGGTGGTGGGTGTGCAGGAGGCTATCAATCCATGATCCTTTCATCATTGCTATTTCTCCCTCTTCCTCTCTGAAGTCTATAAAAATATATTTTAGAAAAAGAAGCACATCCTTTAAAAACAAAGAGGACATCTTATTTTGAAGTCTATCCACCCTAGCAGTGACCATTTCCTTTTGAATATCTGACTGCTTATTGGCTTACAAATTTACTTTTTAACAGGTCTGAAGGAAAAGACAAGTTTTGTGATTAGAATAAGAACAGAGAGGACTTTTCAAAGGAGGGTGTGTGCTGGCTTGATCAGTTGGTGACATTGTGTACTCAGATCCTACCCGAGGGAGGCGAATCTAAATGTAGATGGATTGATGTTTCTCATACTGAAAGAGTATAGAAAGGGAAAAATGTTTCCTACGTACCCTGCTAGGAATTTAGGTTCCTTTCAGGTTGATAGTAATGTAGTTAACAATATGATGGATGTTGAATGTAAACTTCAATTTTGCTAAGAATGAAAACTTCATGAATTCCCATCACTGTCACACAGACAGTACAGCTAGCTGTCCGCTCAGACTCCCGTCAGGTTTCCTTCCCTGTAGGTTTGACCAGCCTGGGGCTCACTGAAAAGGATGGAGTCTACTTTCCCTTGGTGACAAGCAGTGGAACAGTTCAAAGAAAATTTGGAAAATAAATGCCAGTTCTTTGACATAGGTCAGCTTTCTGGCTGCAGAAGTGAATGAGTGGTCCTCAGGCTGGGAGTTAGACCATAGTTTTGCTAGTTCAATTCATGGTCTTCCCACTAGCCTACAACCTGCAGTCAGAAGCTGGTAGTCCTGACTTCCCTTCCAAATTACGGTTAATTACATTAACCTCCGGGCAGCTTGATAACAGCCTCTTTCGTGTTAGCGTCGCCCTCAATATCAGTAAGGGAGACGTCCCGACATGCCTCTGATTGTGAAAAGCAGGCTTGTCCCCCACTGAACCAAGTTGCCTTTGCAGTTGGTGGTGCTCCTCGGTTGATGTCCCATTGCAGGGCAATAACCCAGGGTTGTCCCTGGCTTGCCGATTGCACTATTTCAATATTTGACACTTCTGGGATGTGGCTCCTTTGGCACAAGGTGCAGGTGAGGACAGGATCCCAGGAAGTGGCTAGAGGCTAGGCAATAAGGCACCTGGATTCCCTCCACAGGCCAGCCATGTCCAGTGCGGCCAGCGGCAGTCCGCAGGGTGTCCGTGTGTCTGTAGACGGGCCTCTCAGGACAGAGGTGGGCAATGGCTGCTGAACCAGAGCTCCAGGTGGGCCAAGTGGAGGCACGAGGGACGTTCGATGCTGTCCCCTGAGATGGGCTTCGGCATCACCTGGGTGAGGCGTCACTCTGTTCAGTCTTAAGACGTGGGGGCCACCGGTTTGGGATTAGCCCTTCCGACGACCTCGGAGAGGAAGCCGTTGAGGGGCGGAGCCTGGTCGTGGCGGGGTTGGGGGGGGGGGCTGACCCGCCCGCAGTGGACCGCCCACACCGGTAGCGCCCACACCGATAGCGCCCGCGGTCAGCAGGCGGCGCTGACTGCGCTCGGACCCGCCCCTCCGAGCACGCGGCGGAGCGACCCGAGGACTCCAGCCGGCAATGCCCCTTCCTGCCCTCCTGTCCCAGGACGCGGGTCAGTGTCCCCGAGAAGAGAAATCCCACGGAACCTCGGAGCCGGGGGCGGCGCCGTGGCCTCGGGTTCGCGAGTGGAGCCCCGAGAGCCGACCTGGCGCGGCCGAGTGGCGGCGCTGAGTCCAGGTCCCGGAGGCCCGCGGACCTCGGGAGGGGGCGCCCGCTCCCGCCGCTCCGGCGCCGCTTCCCGGGAAGCTTCAAGTTTTGAAAGTCTCGGCGGAGGGGCCGGGGCTTCCGGAGCCCGACCCAAGCCCGACCGGTGAGAAGAGGCCGCGCGGCCGGAGCGCGCCATGGAGGAGGCGGCGCTGCGGCAGGTGAACGGCTCCGGGAGAGGCCGGGTGCGGACGCCCGCCGAGGGGGGCGGGGGGAGCCTCCGGCGGTGTCCCCAGCTCCGCCCCGCGTCCCTTTGCTGCCCCTGCCGCGGGCCCTCCCACCCCGTCCCCTTCTCAGGGCATAACGGCACCGGGGGGGTAAGGCGTTCGTGCCCCCTGGGAGAGTCCCCAAATCACCCCGAGGGACTCGGAACCCCCGCCCGGCCAGCCTAGGAGCACTCTGAGCCCTCGGTCAGAGCCACAAGGGTGGCCCCAGGGTCCTAAATCGGTTCTTCCAGGAAAGTACAGGGAGGTCCGTGCGGGCTCCCCGGGGAGCGGCCCTGGGGGGGAAGAATTCGTGCGCTCTGGGCCAGGGGCCCGGGAGGGGCTCGTCCCGGCGCACTTGGGGTGGGGGGGCCCTCCCAGAGCACAAGAGGGGCCCAGCCTTGTGCCTGGGCGGGAACCTTCGAGTACACAGGGGTCCAGCCCTGAGGGGAGGGGCCGGGTTCCTGCCACAGCCACAGCCATAGCGGCACTAGGTGCAGTGGGCACAGGAGCCAAGGCTGCGTGCAGATCTGCTATTGGGGAGGCGGGGTGATGTTCCCGTGAAGCGCCAACGGGGAGGTGTGTGTGCACAGGGCAGGCGTCCGGCCCCGAGCAGACAGGAGTCTGGGCCACGCTCAAGAGCGGGGTGGCCTCCACCCCGATGCTGTGGCAACCTCAGGGCTGCGTCTCCCCCGCACCCCCTCCCACCCTCCTTCCTGCGGAGCTCCCTCCGCCTGTTCCAGCAGCGACTTGTACACATTTTCCTATTTCCTGTGAACCTCCGCCCAGCAGTGGAGCCGGGTGACTCAGGACCCCGGTGGCCGGGCCCCCAGTTCCATGGGAGCTTTGTTTGCTCCAGCCCTTGGCTCTGGCCTGCGCCTCCAGTCTAGAGCCTAGAGCCGGCAAAGGATTTCCTGAGCCCCACCCCTGCCCTCGGCCGGCCTGGCCCGCCGGGCCCCAGGCCTGGGCTGGGGGTGGGGTCCCTGAGGCTGGGGTGGCCACCCTTCCACTGGGCTCGGGAGATGGCGAGCGGAGAGGTAAGGTGGAGGCCCTGCAGGAGCCCCTGGGAGGGGTCATGGGTGACCCTGGGCTGAGGTCGGCTTTGGCGCCGCTGGTTTGAAATGGGCTCTGGGAAGGTTTGCCTCTTCCTCCCTCCAGCCTGGGGTGAAGTTGTAAGAAAGCCTTCTGCTTTCTCCCGGGAGCTCGGCCCAGGAGACGGTCCCGGGAGGCCTTCCTAGCCCTGCTGTGCGCTTCTGCTTCGCCACCTGAGGCCTCAAGGGAACAGTCCCGGCCCCACTCAGGCCTCCAGCTGCCCTCTAACCTTGAATAAATCCCTCGCCTCTTTTCTGGCCCAGATCTTAGCCTGAACCCCAGCTTTAGAGCAGCAGCCTGGGAAGCGAGGCTGGCAGAGAGGGGCCGGGGCACGAGGGGTGGTGGTGTCCGCTCTGTGGTGTGACCTTGGCAGGTTACTCACCCTCTCTCTGTGCCTCCGTTTTCTCACCGACACGACGGGGGACACAACTGCACCCACCTCACGGGGTTGTTGTCAGGACTGACATTAACAAATTAACGTACGCCAAGCCCTCACAGACCCTGGCCCCCGGAGCACACGCACACGGGAACAGTTTTCCCCTCACCCTCCTCACAAGTGCAGAGGACAGGAGCGTGGGCTGGACAGATAGCCGTGGGGTTTCCACCCGGCTCAGGACGACTCCTCTGCAGTCAGAGACGCTGCCCACACCCTGTGTGTGGGTCCTGGGTGCCACCCGTGCCTCCCGCCCCCGCGGTGCGTGCTGAGCTGAGGCCGGCTCTTCTGCCGTCCCACAGCCTGGGCCGGGCCAGCGGCCCCCAGAGGACGAGAAAGAGGCGATCCGCCGGGCCATCCAGAAGGAGCTAAAAATCAAGGAGGGTGTGGAGAACCTGCGGCGGGTGGCCACCGACCGCCGCCACCTGGGCCACGTGCAGCAGCTCCTCCGGACCTCCAACCGCCGCCTGGAGCAGCTGCACGGGGAGCTGCAGGAGCTGCACGCCCGCATCCTGCTGCCGGGCCCCCCAGCTGGTGAGTGAAGAGTCTGGGCAGCCCCCGGGGACAGGAGGTGCCAGCTCACTAACCCAGCTCCTCGGCCCTGCCCAGGAGGGGAGGGGGGAGAGAGCTAGGCTGTAGGTGAGGGGTTTATGGGCCCTCCGTGTTGTGCACACAGAACCTGTGGCCCCGGGACCCCGGCCTCCGGCAGAGCAGCCAAGGGCCCGGCACCTGGAGGCGCTACAGAGGCAGCTGCAGGTGGAGCTGAAGGTGAAGCAGGGGGCGGAGAACATGACCCACACATATGCCCGCGGCACACCCAAGGTGCGGCTCCTGGGCTCTGGTGGGGAGAGATTTGGCTCTTGGATTATGAGGGTTGGTGCTGTTCCCGCCTCTATTCTGAAAGGGACATGCTACCCAGACACTGATGCAATAAGGGAGACACAGTCCTAACCCTTAGTCTGATGGCGAAGGAAGGCAGCGTCCCAAATCCCAGCTTGGTGGGGAAGGCATGGCTCCAACCCCTCGTCTAACAGAGAAGGCAAACACGGAAGTTCCCGTCTAATAGGGGAGACCCAGCCCCAGTGCCAGCCCCCAGGGTGATGGGGCAGCTCAGGCCTGATATGCAGGAGGAGGCTTGACCTCAGCCCTTATCTGGTCTGATGGGGGAGGCGCTGCCCCGGACCTCATCTAACAAGGGAGGCTTGGTTCTTTATCTGGCCTACTGTGGGAGGCTTGGCTTCGAGCCTGGTGAATGGGGGAGGCTTAGCTCCAGGCCCTGGTCTGACCAGAGTGGCTCTGGGCTAGCACATGTCACGACCCCACAGGGGAGGAAGCTCCTGGCGGCTGCTCAGCAGATGCTGCGGGACAGCCAGCTGAAGGTGGCCCTGCTTCGGATGAAGATCAGCAGCCTGGAGGCCAGTGGGTCCCCGGAGCCAGGTGAGGCCCCACACCTCGTGAAGCGGGATGGGCAGGGCAGAGCAGGGCGTGGGCCTGAGGGCTGACCCCCTCCTCCCAGGTCCTGAACTGCTGGCGGAGGAGCTGCGGCACCGGCTGCGCATTGAGGCTGCTGTGGCCGAGGGGGCCAAGAACGTGGTGAAGCTGCTGGGCAGCCGGCGACTGCAAGACCGCAAGGCGCTGGCCGAGGTCAGGCCGCCGTCCCCTCCTGTTCCCGCTCCTCTCTGAGGCTCTCCTTGTTCCCATCCCCCCTCTGCAGCGACGGGAGGCACCATGGACTGGCCATGGGGGGTGGCAGTGAGGAACCAGGAGGCTTATTCTGTCTAGACCTCAGAGGGGGTGTCTACAGGTGGCCTGAGCCGGTGCCCCCACACCCCTTATCCCATGGGCCTGTGTCCCCTCTGCAGGCTCAGGCCCAGCTCCAGGAGTCCTCCCAGAAGCTGGACCTCCTGCGGCTGGCCTTGGAGCAGCTGCTGGAGGGACTGCCTCCTGCCCACCCTCTGCGTGGCAGAGTGGCCCGGGAGCTGCGGACTGCTGTGTCTGGGAACCCTCAGCCTTCAGGGATGCTTGTAAAGCCCATCGCCATGACAGGTAGCAGGAGCCCCTCCCACGTCAGAGCTCGTTCCCTTCCAGAAAGGACTGAGATACAGCGGGGAAGAACTCTGGAGAAGGGTTCCAGTCCTGGCTCCACCACCCCCTAGCTGGGAGCCCTTGGACAACTGACATCCTTTCTCCCAACCTCAGTTTATCCATCTGTGAAATGGGGACGATAACAGCACCTACTTCATGGGGTTGCTGTGAAAATTCAGTGCCTTGTTTGTTGCCTGTGAAGTGCTAAGCACTCTTTGGGCACTGTTAGCACTCTGTCAGTGAAGCTATTATTTAAATGAGTAACCATAGTAACGTTGAAAGCGCCAGTGTTAGGGAGCTCTCAGCCCCGGAGGCCTCGGTACCCAGTCCTGGGCAGCTTGGGCTATTACAGAGTTCGTTCTTATCCCAAGTTGGATCTGTCTCCTGATAGTGGCAGCTGAATTGCAATCAGTAAGTAATCTCAGATGCAGACTTTGGAAGCCCTGAGCTTCCCACCTGGGAGATAGCACCAACTAGAGAGCCCAGCGCCTTCCTGCTCAGAGCTGGTTCGAGGGTACACAGGCCACATCCCGTTGTGAGCAGAGCGGAGAAGGGGAGGTGCAGCGGCCGGATGGGCCCCCCCACCCGGCCTCAGAGAATCGAGAATGATCCCTGGAGGAGATGGTGGTGTCTGAGCTTGGCCTTACCCGGCTTGTGAGATTTGGCCAAATGGATGATCTGGGGAAGGCAGGGGAAATGACTTGTTAAAAGGCCTAGAAGTGGGCTATCGAGGCCACGTAAACCTGTCTCCTGGCTAAACACCTTAGTTCCTCCCCAGGCCACTGCCCTCGTCTAAGGTCCTTTGGGGTGTAACCCCCAGGCCTGGACTCCTTAAATGGTGCTCTTTGGCCCAGTTTATTTCCTCAAAAACTACTCGAGCCCTACTGCTTCCTCTTTGAGGGACAAAAGTCCAGTGACCCTAAAAACGAATCCACTTGGTTGGCAAAACACTCTTTGTACCCCTCGTGGGAGGTGGGGCAGAGCTGAGACTCCTTTCCTCTGTACAGATGGGGAAACTGAGGCCCAAGGAGGAGGGGGGATAGGATAGGCAGCCAGGCTTCCTGCTCGCCAAACTCTGGTCTCTGTCACGCTGCTCCCCAGGCCCTGAGCCCTGGGTAGCATGTCATCATGCACCGTGGCTCCATGTGGCTTGGCTGAGGTCTGAGGGTCACTCCTCTGGCTGTGGGTCCCTGCTGCCCCCAACACATGGACGGTGCTCAGGAGGGAGGGCCAGCTGGTCTGCCTGGAGGGTGGCAGATGGCTGCCAAGGCCTAATGTTGGCAGGCTCTGGGTTCAACCATCTCTACAAGAAGGTAGTGTTCCAGGGGTCCAGGGGTCCACTGGGGGTGGCAGTGGGAGGATGGCACCTGACCATGCTTCCTCCCCCTCGCCCCCCCCCCTCCCTACAGGGACACTGCAGGTCCACCTCCTGGGCTGTGAGCAGCTGCTGACAGCTGTGCCCGGCCGGTCCCCGGTGACTGCGCTGGCCAGGAGCCCCTCCCAGGGCTGGCTTCGGGGCAGAGCCAGGCAGCAGCGTGGCACAGGCGAGCTGGCCAGTGAGTAAGGGGCTGCAGGGAGCTATGGGGGGCAGCAACCCCCACTCGTGGCCTTCCCTGAGCCCTGGTTCTGGCCCTGCAGGTGAGGTGCTGGCCGTGCTAAAGGTGGACAATCGCATCGTGGGCCAGACGGGCTGGGGGCCAGTAGCCCAGCAGTCCTGGGACCAGACCTTTGTCATCCCCCTGGAGCGGGTGAGGCCGGCTTTTGTGAGGCCAGGGGTGACTTTGGGCCACCGGCTGGAAGGCCAGCCCCATCTTCAACCCGGCCTTTCCAATACAGGCCCGAGAGCTGGAGGTCGGGGTGCACTGGCGGGACTGGCGACAGCTGTGCGGCGTGGCCTTCCTGCGGCTGGAGGACTTCCTGGACAATGCGTGTCACCAGCTCACCCTCAGCCTGGTGCCCCAGGGGCTGCTCTTTGCCCAGGTGCCCACTGACCCCTGCCTTCTGATCACGTGGGTTCCTGGCTCCCTTGGAGGAGTGGACATTGAGGCCCAGAGGGAGAAAGTCTCCAAGAATAGGTTCCCAGGCCGTCTCCGAGGCCCACACGGAGTCCAGAGGCCTGTGTCCTTGTCCTGACTGCCCTGCTTCATGGGTGACTCTAGACAAGTGCCTGTCTTCTCTGGGCCTCAGTTTCCCCACTGGTACCAATGAGGATGTTGATTCCGTCTCTCTGAGCCCATCTGGCTCTTGCATCGTTGTCACTGGGGGCTCAGGCTGGGATCCTGGGGGCTGGGGAGGTGCCCATGGCAGGTGGGGTGGGAGGGGACTGGTCTTCAGGTAACCTTCTGTGACCCCACAGGTAACCTTCTGTGACCCTGTCATTGAGAGGAGGCCCCGGCTGCAGAGGCAGAAACGCATTTTCTCTAAACGCAGGGGTAGGGACAGGAGAGGGCTGTGCACGTGGGGAAGAGGGCAGGGGCGTCAGGGGGCCCCGGGACTGAACCTCCCTTTTGCCGCAGGTCAGGACTTCCTGAGGGCTTCCCAGATGAACCTCAGCATGGCAGCCTGGGGGCGCTTGGTCATGAACCTGCTGCCCCCCTGCAGCTCCCCAAGCACGATCAGCCCTCCCAAAGCGTGTCCCCGGACCCCTGCCACTCCTCGGGGGGCCACCAGCCCTGCCTCGCCCAGGTGAGAAGCCACCTCACCCCCCAGACTCCCGGCTTCTCTGCGGTGCCCGCCTCTCCAGGTGCTGTCAGTGTCTGTCTTTCTGTCCCTGTTGCTCACACTCTGCCTCTCTCTCTCTCTCTCTCTCTCTCTCTCTCTCTCTCTCTCTCTCTCGGCATGGCTGTGTGTCCATCCCCCGGCTGTTCTGTCTGCCTGTGCCCCACCATGTGTCTGCCCCCTCCCCACAGTAGTTTCCCACCCAAGAAGACCCCCTTGGGAGAAGAGATGAGGCCCCCACCCAAGCCCCCGCGCCTTTACCTGCCCCAGGAGCCAGCCCTCGAGGAGACGCCGGTGAGGGGGGCTGGTAGCCCTGGGGGTGCTGGGCTGGGGGTGGCGGAGCTGCAGGGAGGGAGGAAGGAAGCCCTGCTCTGCCCTGAGCCCTCTGCCCTCCCTCACAGCGCACCAAACGCCCCCACATGGAGCCCAGGACTCGACTGGGGTCATCTCCACCAGCCTCCGCGACCAGGTACCTCGTCAGGTTCACCTTGTTTGAGACATTGTCCACTCAGTCCTCACCCCGCGGCTCCTGGGCGCATTCACTGGCTCGCTGAGGTTCTCACTCTGAACCAACATTATTGAGCCCAGCTGTATGCCGGACTCCAGGCAACGGCTGTCCTGAGCCCCCGTCCCGCCAGCCCCAGAGGTGGGGCCAGGCCAGGATTGGCATGAAGGGTTGGTGGAGGCCCAGCCTTGGCCCAGGGGGCTTCTGTGCCCGCTCTCTTCCAGGAAACCCCCACGGCTTCAGGACTTCCGCTGCTTGGCTGTGCTGGGTCGGGGACACTTCGGGAAGGTGGGTGCAGTGCCGGGTGGGCAGCCCTCGGCGCATTAGCTAGGAGGACGCTGTGATCGTTAGGTAGTAGTTGGGGGAAGTAAAGGCTCCCGGTACTGCCCACCTGGAGCCCAGCCTTTCTCTGGTCCCCAGGTTCTCCTGGTGCAGTTCAAGGGGACGGGGAAATACTACGCCATCAAAGCGCTGAAGAAGCAGGAGGTGCTGAGCCGGGACGAGATAGAGAGGTGTGTGGTGATGCCACCGGGCATCTGGCCTGCAGCGGGCCCCGGATGGCTGGCCTGGGCTATTGGCACCAGAAGGCAGCCGAACGCTCCTGGGGCTTTGAAGTCGTGACTCGGGCCAGCCAGGCCTGGGTTCATTTTTTAGCACCTGCAGTTAATGATGGGCCCTTGGGCAGGTCCCTCTGCACCGCAGTTTCCTCATCTGTAAAATGGGACAGTGGTGGTTGTGCAGGTTAAATGACCCACGTGAGTTCCTGATACATAGAAACCGTCACTCTGCGTAGCTGCCCGGCACTTTGAGGCACAGTGAGCTGGGGTGTCCTGTGGGTGGCAGGGCACAGCCAGTGGAGGTTTTCCTTCCCTCTGAAAGCCACGCCCTCTCCTGCAGCCTGTACTGCGAGAAGCGGATCCTGGAGGCTGTGGGCCGCACGGGGCATCCCTTCCTGCTGTCCCTCCTGGCCTGCTTCCAGACCTCCAGCCACGCCTGCTTCGTGACTGAGTTTGCGCCGGGCGGCGACCTCATGATGCAGATCCACGAGGATGTTTTCCCTGAGCCCCAGGCGCGGTGGGTTTCCATTCCTCTCGTCTGCCTCTTCCAACAAGCCGGCCCTGGTTCCCTACACCGGGCCTCCCTCACCCTGCTTCCTCCGGGCACCCATCAGCAGAGGAGCAGGGCGTCAGGGAGGCCTGGGTTCAGATCCTGGGTATCAGCTCTCAGCATTTGTGACCTTGAGCCTCAGTTTATGTAGCTAGGAAGCGGGTTAAAAACAACTGTTTCAGAGGCTGGCTGCATAGTTGAACATAACATTAATGAATTGCCGGTGAATAGTGACTGGCAGCTGAAGTTATTTCTTGTCCACCAGAGTGCGCCCCTGAAGTCTGGGCTCATATCAGCTCTGCCACTAGCTGTGTGACCCTGGGCACGTCACTGACCTGGGGTCTCAGAGCCTCATTTGAAAACAGGCATGCAGGCTGCTGGCAGGAGGCCGGGAGAGTGAGGTCTGAGACCCCAAGAAGAGGAGGCTGTGAGCTGGCAGCAACCTTGGGACAACCTTGGGCTGCTGTCTAGGGGAGCCCCACCCCCACATGAGGCTTGTCCTAGCCTCTTGCCCACATCCAAGGGTCCCCAGGCCATGGCCATCCTGCGCCTTCCTGCCCTCCCTTCCCCCCACAGTCCTGGGCCTAAGCTTCCCCTAAACCCCCTCCAGGTTCTACCTGGCCTGTGTGGTTCTGGGACTGCAGTTCTTGCATGAGAAGAAGATCATTTACAGGTAACTTGTCCCCGAGAGGCTGGGGGAGTGGCAAGGGCGCGGATGCTGTCTTTCTCCTGGGCACCGTTCCAGGGCCCCTTTGCTCTGCCCCCACCCTCCCAGGGACCTTAAGTTGGATAATCTTCTGCTGGATGCCCAGGGTTTCCTGAAAATCGCAGACTTCGGGCTATGTAAGGAAGGTGGGTGTCTCCCATCCAGGATCCTGTGTCCTCCAGCCTTGGCACCCAGTCCAGGCCAGCAAGTGGCGTCTCCCGGGAAATCTCCCCACCCCACCCTCATTCCAGGGACCAAGTGCTTCCTTCCCAAACCCTACAAGCTCTAAGGAGCCCTAGCTTCCCTTGGCCCAAGGGCGAGCCTGTGCTCCAGAGCTGGGAGAGGGCACTGGGTTCTGCTTCCTTCGTGGCCTTGGCATGTGAGCTTGGCCGAGCCTCACCGCCTCCGTCCCATGTCCTAAAATCCATTCCCACCTCCGAGAGTGGGGCAGGGCTTGGCAGTTAGGTGCAGGGGGACATAAGGGTTGGCTGTTGGTTCTTACAACCACAGAGGTTACTGTGGACCAGACACACTGAGCTGGCTTTGATGTGGATGTTGATTTGCAGGGATTGGCTTTGGGGATCGGACCAGCACCTTCTGCGGCACCCCAGAGTTCCTGGCCCCTGAGGTGCTGACCCAGGAGGCCTACACACGGGCCGTGGACTGGTGGGGGCTGGGCGTGCTGCTGTACGAGATGCTGGTGGGTGAGGTGAGTGCCGAGCCTGGGCGGCCAGGGCCTCGAGGTTGGGGTGGGCTGGGAGTGGCCCGTGCACCCCGCTGAGCCCCCCTCCCCTCAGTGCCCATTCCCAGGGGACACCGAGGAGGAGGTGTTTGACTGCATCGTCAATGCGGAAGCCCCGTATCCCCGCTTTCTGTCGGTGCAAGGACTCGAGCTCATTCAGAAGGTAGCCACTGCAGGGTGCAGGGCTGGGCGGCACCACCCATCCTCGGGGCCCTGGGCCCAGCTCCCTCGGGGGCTTGGGGAGGCGGCAGCCTGGGGCCCAGTGCCCTCGGTGAGCACTGCTCTTGCCCAGCTCCTCCAGAAGTGCCCGGAGAAGCGCCTGGGGGCCGGCGAGCAGGACGCCGAGGAGATCAAGACACAGCCTTTCTTCGGGGTGAGTGGCCGGCGCAGTGGGAGGTGCAGAGGGACCGCGTGGGCTGCCACTGCCGTCACCTCAGGCACCTCTGCCCTTGTCCCCAGACCACCGACTGGCAGGCTCTGCTGGCCCGCGCTGTCCAGCCCCCCTTTGCACCCACCCTCTGCGGGCCCACAGACCTGCGCTACTTCGAGGGCGAGTTCACGGGGTTGCCGCCTGCCCTGACCCCGCCAGACCCCCGCGGCCCCCTCACTGCCCGCCAGCAGGCCGCCTTCCGGGACTTCGACTTCGTGTCAGAGCGATTCCTGGAGCCCTGAGGGCCTTTCCCTGTGTCCCTGTCTCCAGCCCCGCCCCCACTCTTAGAGCCTTACTTGCCCACCCGTCCGCCCAGCTACCCGCCCTGCCCTGGAGGCCAGGCCTTGCCTGGTATTTATCAGCCCTTCGGACCCGAGGGGGTGGCTTGGCTCAGTCTCTGGGCCTGGTGCTCCCCTCCGCCTCCCCCCACCCCTCCCGTCTCAGCCAGACGTGGACAGAAAGGGTGGCATGGTGAGGAGCAATTTGGTTTGGTTTTTAATACTTGACTTGCTTTATGGATTATTAAATATGCAAAACTGCACTGGAGGGATTCTGGCTCGGAGGGTGGAAGGTTCCGGATGCCCTAGGCACTGGTGCCCTAGCCCCGCACAGGTCCTCTTCCTCCCCTCCTTCCTTTGGAGGTCAGTCTGCTCTGAGGCTGGGAGGTGTGAGCAGACGTGAGCAGGCTCAGGCCCTCGGGGTCCGCCCTTCGTTTTCAGGCACAAGATGGTGGCTCTGCCTCCTGCGGCCCTAAACAGCCTGGCTGCTGCCCTCACCCTCCTCCTCCTCGGCCCAGAGGGTCTCCCAGGGCCCCGAGGGCCATCCGCAGAAGAAGTGGGCCAGGTTTCGGATCAGGCCCCGGTCAAAGGGGTTGCCGGGGCGCTGGCGGAGGTAGGCAATGCGGTGCGAGGAGAGGAACTCCCAGGTGGTGGTGTTGCTGGCCACCAGGTAGATGTGCGAGGCCAGGAGCAGGCCGGCCACCATGGAGAAGAGGGAGAGCAGCAGGAAGGTGGCGAACAGGAGCCCGCTGGACCGCAGCCACAGCCCCCAGGGCTGGAAGAAGCGGAGGCCAGACCTGTGGGGCAGCAGAGGGATGGGGGCCCAGAGCTGGGAGAAGGCAGGGGCGCCCCAGGAAGCCCAGGAGGGCAGGCCAATGGTGAAGGGTCGGGGCCCCTGAAGAAGGTGTCCGGCTGTGCACCCCTTGTGGGCACATGCTGCCCGCCCCCCCAACCCCCCCCCCCCCCCCCCCCCCCGCACACACACACAGGGCAGTGGCGGGACCCACCATGCCAGGTACAGGCCCCACAGAAGCACCACAAGCTGCAGCGCCAGGTAGGCCACGAAGAGCGGGTGGTTCCGTTCCCCCACACAGTTCTCCATCCAGGGGCAGTGGTGGTCGTAGCGGCGGACGCAGCGGCGGCACTCGCTGCAGTGCCGGGCCCGCAGGGGTTGCTGGGCATAGAGAGTGGGGCTCGACACTGGCTCCCCTCCAGACCAACAGTGAGGGCAGGGATGAGGGTGGGAGGTCGGGGCCTGGATCTGGGAGGCTGGGGGGTTGAGGCCAAGGCGCTGGGGCAGGAGGCGATTGGTCTCAGCCTTACCCCTGGCCCTCCAGGAGGTCCCTGAGCCACTCACCAGCACCATGCAATGTCTGCAGCGCCGAAGGGCGATGGCCGGAGGAACCATGGCTGTCTGCTCCTCCTTGGCCTCCTCCTGAAAATGGGGGCCAGGGCATAAGATGGGGATCCCCTGGGGAGGCAGGTGGCTGGTGAACACATTTTGGAGGCCATCCCATGTGTAATGAGGTGGTAGAGTGAGGCACAGTGCCCTGGACCTAGGGAGGCTGTGTGACCCTTGCCAGTTGCGTTCCCTCTCTGGGCCTTGGCCATTTCCTCATTCAGATGGGTTTCTAGGGCTGGCAAGAGGATTCACTGAGATGCCCCAGAAAAGCCCTCCACACAGAACCTGGCATGAGACTGTTATTGGGGCCTTGGGTCCCCTGTTGGTGGGAGGAGGGGTTCAGCTCCCCAGGGGCCCACTGGTTACCTGGGGCTGGATGTTCACGTAGCCTGGGTCCATGAGTGACACGGCCAGATAGAGCAGCAGGGAGCCCAGGACAAGGAGCAGGAAGGTGAGGGGCAGGAGAAGCTCCCCCTGTTCTTCCCATTGTCGCAGCGCTGCTGGGGCCAGAGGAGAGTGAGGCCGGGCTGGGGGACAGGAGGGGGTGTGGGGGAAGGGCAGGGGGCAGGTATAGGTGGAGCGGGGAGTGTGTCCTGGCTGAGCAAAGGCCTGGGGATGGGGTTTGATGAGTGGCCAGGTGTCTCCTGCATAGGTACAGAAGTTCAGGACCAGCAAAAAAAGAGAGGCAGTTCATCTCTACTCTCTGGAGGGCAACAGGGAATCATGGAAGGTTAGAGGGCAGATCTGGAAACCTTCCCAGTGAAGGTGATCAGAGGGGAAGCCTGGAGGCACAGAGAGAGGGCTGTCCAGAAGGGAGAGGAAGGTGGCTGGACGAGAGCGGAGAGGAGGAGATGGACAGATGGGGGTTAGAGAGTGAAGGGGCCAGACCTGACTGGATGTCGGGGAGAGGAAGGAGGGGGTCCCTGCCTCTGGCTCCACCGTGGGAGACCAGCCTGGTCTGAGAGGCTCATGAGACAGACAGGAAGGCGGGACTGGCAGGCTCAGATGCTGCAAAGAGGGGCAGGATGGCGGCCCAGGCCAGAAAGGGTCCAGACCAAAGAGGTGACTGGGGATTTGGGGGAGGCGGGGAGTAGGGGGTTGCGCTAAGATACGAGGGTGTGAGATAGACAGCAGAGTGAACAACTCTGGCTGTAAAAGGAGCAGAGAAAGAAGGGGGGTTTCTTTCTGATGGGGAGACTGAGCAGGTTTTGAGGCTAAAGGGCAAAGACTGGCCGGCTGGTGTGGCTCAGTGGTTGAGCATCGACCTATGAACTAGGAGTCATGTTTCAGTTCCTGATCAGGGCACACGCCCGGGTTGTGGACTCCGCCAGTGTGGGGTGTGCAGGAGGCGGCCGATCAATGATTCTCTGTCATCACTGATGTTTCTAGCTCGCCTCCCTTCCTCTCGGAAATCAGTAAAAATATATTTAAAAAAATAAAGGGCAAAGACTGTGGAGGAGACTTGAGAAGGTCTTAGGAGGAAAGTGAGAACACCCCGGCCCGGGGGGGAGGCTGAAGCAAGGAGGGGTGGGAACCCAAGGGGAGGGATGGAAGTGGGGGTGTCTGTGGGGTGATAGCTACTAGGGCAAGAAGCAAGGGTGGGGACATGGAGGAGGGGTCACTCCCCTGTGAGGTGCTCTCTTGCCTGAGGATGGGGAGCCCGGACTTGGGCGGCGGAGGGAAGGTTGGGAGTCAATTCCCGGGCAGGATCGGTGGATCCCGAGACCAGGGGTGATGGGGGCTGGACTTGGTCATCGGATCAGGTGGCCATCGCATGGGTCCCGGGATGGACAGGGCATGTGGCAGGGACCAGGAAGACGCTGGTATGAATTAGGGACTGACGGGGTCTTAGGCGGAAACTCTTGGAATGACAGGCGAGGAAGGGGCCTCGGGAGCCGGCGGAGACGGGTGGTCCCCCCCCCACCCCCCCCCGCTTCTCTGGGGCTTCGGCGGGGGACCCAGTAAGACCCAAATGTCTGGGGGACCACGGGGGAGCGGGTGGGTCCGGGTGGCGCGGGTCCGGCTCACCGGTGTCGTGCAGGAAGAGCACCAGCGTGATTCCCCAGGTCAGCACCGTGTGCCCGGTCCGCACCAGGACGCCCGGGCTGAGGAGCGCCCAGGGCGCCATAACCTCGGCCCCCGGCCCACCCGGAAGAAGCGCCCAGAGGGGCGGGCCCTCCGAGGGAGAGGGTCCCAGATGCCCGGCGATTGGCGAATCCTGGGAGTGGGCGGGGTCAGGCTGGGGCAGGGAGGCTGCCTATTGGGTGGCAGCTGCGGCCGAGTAGGTCCTCGAGCCAACAGGTGCCTGAAGAGGCTGAGGGCGGGGCCGGCGCGCGCGCAGCCGGGAGCTCCGCCACCCCAGTCCCTTCCCGGCAGGTACGTTTTCGGAACCCGGAGCCGTCGCCGGTCTCCGTCCCTTCCCAACCCCACAGCCTCGCGCATGCGTGCCGCTCGCTGGGAGCTTCAAAGATTGCAGATTTGTGCCCGGTTCAAAGATGTGATGATTGAGGTTTCAACAGGCAGCGCTCGCCCAAGGCTCAGTGGTGACATTCTTACCTCCTTGCTGTTCATTATCAGGGATCGCAAACGGGATTAGAGCCAAGTGGAGTTCCGTGGTGCAGGTTCAGGCTACGAGGGGCCCAACTTGGGTCCGAGTCAGGAATGCCAGCGCTGTCTCTTCCTCTCTGTGAGGGCGTGGGCAAGTCACTGAACCACTTTGAGCTCTGTTTTTTGTCTGTATAACAGATGATAATGGCATCCCCTCCTAAGGTGGTTGGGAGGATTAACTAATGGCAGCACAGCGTCTAGCACAGTACTTAGACCCCAGCGACACCCTGCCAGCCCGGCTTGCCCGACCCGAGGCTTCATCATTCACTGCCCATACTCCTTCAGCCGTGTCCCCAGGGCCTTCCTTATTCAGCTGTGCCTTTCCACCCACACCTCCCACTAATACCAATGTCCACCTTCTTTCTCCATCAGATTAGCCCCCTCCCAACTTCTACAGCAAGCCTCTTAATTTTTTTTTTAATTTGAGAGGAAGGGAGAGAAATACAGATTGGTTGTTCCACTAATTTATGCATTCATTGGTTGATTCTTGTATGTGCCCTGATGGGGATCATACCCATAACCTTGCAGTATTGGGAGGATGCTCAAACCAAGTGACCAAGTGAGCTATCATCCGGCCAGGGCCCAGGGATCCTTTTCTGACATCTGTTATTTTTTAAAATATGTTTTTATTGATTTCAGAGAGGAAGGGAGAGGAATAGAGAGATAGAAACATCAATGACCAGAATCATTGACTGGCTGCCTCCTACACGCCACCTACTGAGGAGGATCCAGCCCGCAACCCAGGCATGTGCCCTGACCAGGAGTTGAAGCTGGAACCCTTTAGTCCCCAGGCTGATGCTCTACCCACTGAGCCAAACCAGCTAGGACATGACATCTGTTATTTTTGTCAGCTCAACATTCCTTTTTCTGTTGGGGAACTAACTCTTCCCCATCTCATGTGATTCTGAAGGAACTGTGTCCCTCACTCCATAGAGTGGTGGGAAGTCATTGTGGGCTGTGACTCTAGAAAGCCAAGCACTTCCCCATCTGGTTGTCTCCAGGGATTGGTCCTCGTTGGTGGGCATGTGACTTGGCAGGGCCAATTAGAATCATTCCATGAGAGTAAGGCAAAGCTGCGGAGAACGAGGCTTTCTTTGGGATCTCAAGCAGGAATAGAGTATAAGGGCAACTGACAGCTGTCGTTACACTCTGTGGAGAGAGACTGTGGCAGGAGAAGGTGAGGCCATCTTATCAAGAGACAGAGATAAGCAGGACCAAAAGGCTGTATGAAAGACAGACAGTCTTAACATTGTCTGGGCCCCTACATCCCGCTTTGCCTGAAGCTGGTATTAGCTCTAGTTTCCCCAGTTGCATTAGTCAGTGAATCCCACCCTCCAACCTCTGACTAATCTGGGTTGGTGTTTGAATTGGGTGTCTGTCACTTGCAACTCAATCTTTTTTTTTTTAAATAAATCTTTATTGTTCAGATTATTACATTTGTTCCTCTTTTTCCCCCCCATAACTCCCCTCCACACAGTTCCCACCCCACCCTCTGCCCTCACTCCCCACCCACTGTCCTCATCCATAGATGCCCGATTTTTGTCCAGTCTCTACCCGCATCCCCCACACCCCTTTCCCCCGCAAGAATAGTCAGTCCATTCCCTTTCTATGCCCCTGATTCTATTACAATCACCAGTTCATTTTGTTCATCAATTCTTTATTCACTTGATTTTTAGATTCACTTGTTGATAGATGTGTATTTGTTGTTAATAATTTGTATCTTTACCTTTTTCTTCTTCCTCTTCTTAAAGGATACCTTTCAGCATTTCATATTTTATATAATACTGGTTTGGTGGTGATGAACTCCTTTAGCTTTTTCTTATCTGTGAAGCTCTTTATCTGACCTTCAATTATGAATGATAGCTTTGCTGGATAAAGTAATCTTGGTTGTAGGTTCTTGGCATTCATCACTTTGAATATTTCTTGCCTCTCCCTTCTGGCCTGCAAAGTTTCTGTTGAGAAATCAGCTGACAGTCGTATGGGTATTCCCTTGTAGGTAACTGCCGTTCTTTCTCTTGCTGCTTTTAAGATTCTCTCTTTGTCTTTTAAAAAATATATATATTTTATTGATTTTTTACAGAGCAGAAGGGAGAGAGATAGAGAGTTAGAAACATCGATGAGAGAGAAACATCGATCAGCTGCCTCCTGCACATCTCCCACTGGGGATGTGCCTGCAACCCAGGTACATGCCCTTGACCGGAATCGAACCTAGGACCTTTCAGTCCGCAGGCCGACGCTCTATCCACTGAGCCAAACCGGTTTCGGCTGCTCTTGGCATTTTAATTATGATGTGTCTTGGTGTGGTCCTCTTTGGATTCCTTTTGTTTGGGGTTCTCTGTGCTTCCTGGACTTGTAAGTCTATTTCTTTCACCAGGTAGGGGAAGTTTTCTGTCATTATTTCTTCAAATAGGTTTTCAATATCTTGCTCTCTCTCTTCTTCTGGCACCCCTATAATTCGGATGTTGGTACGCTTGAAGTTGTCCCAGAGGCTCCTTACACTATCTTCAAATTTTTGGATTCTTTTTTCTTTTTGCTTTTCCGGTTGGGTGTTTTTTGCTTCTTCGTATTTCAAATCTTTGACTTGATTCTTGGGATCCTCCTGTCTGCTGTTGGATCTCTGTATATTATTCTTTATTTTAGTCAGTGTATGCTTAATTTCTAGTTGGTCTTTTTTCATATCCTCCAGGGTCTCACTAAATTTATCAGTGGTTTCTAGAAAATTCTTGAAAAACTTTATAACCGTGGTTTTGAACTCTATATCCAGTCGTTTGCTTTCCTCCATTTCTGTCATTTGTGTCCTTTTTATTTGTCTCCGCATTTTTTATGCTTCCCTGTGTTGATAGAGTGGTTTTCTGTGCTTAGTGTCCTCTAGGGCCCAGTGGCTCAGCCTCCCCAATTACCTGAGGAGGACACTCTTGGTGCACCCCCTTGTGGTCTTTGTGCACAGTCTTGTTGTAGTTAAGCCTTGATTGTTGTAGGTATCGCTGGGAGGAATTGACCTCCAGGCCAATTGGCTGTGAGAATCAGCTGTGTCTGCAGTGGGAGAGCTTCTGTGCTGGAGACACCCCTCCGGGGCAAGACTTGCTTCAATGGGGCTTTGGTGCTCACTGGGTCTGACCTGAGTGTGTCCTTTAAGGGTCCGAGGAGGTGCAAACAGGATGGTCCCACTCTGACCTCTGGGCTTCCTGGCTCCTGGATCTCAGGTGCTAATCTAGCCTTTGCCTGAGGCTACCCAGCAAAGGCCTCCATGCAGGGCTTGGGCGGGGTGGGTCTCACGGGATCAACAGGGCGGGGCTAGCAGTTATGGCTGCTCTCAGTCCTGCCCTCAGAGGCTCCACTTCTCAATGTCCCGGTAATCGCTGCAAGCACCTCGGAGAGAAAGCTGCCCTCGCCTTCCAGCCGATGCCAGACAGTCCCGCTTCTCCCGTATGAGTCTGGGTCCCCAAAGACCCGCCCAGAGCTGGAGCCCAGAGCCTGAGACTCCCTCCCGATTGAAAACGACAACCGCGCTCTCAGCCGCCAGCCCGCTCCGCGTCCACCTCTGTACCTTAGTATTTTACTCCCGCACTGCTCCTCCTCTGAGTCTCGGTAAGCTTTTCTCTTTCCTTCTAGTTGTAGAATTTCCACTCAGCCAGCCTTCCTGTGGTTCTGGATGATGTCTGTTCCGTCTTTTAGTTGTATTTTTGAAGTTGTTGTGCGAGGCAGCAAACTCTGGTGTTTACCTCTGCCGCCATCTTGGTTTCTCTCAAAACTCAGTCTTGATAACTGCAATGGGGTATGACTTAACTGAGTGAGGAATTCTAGCACATTATCCACTTAACCCTGAAGCTTCCATGTGTCATTGACATACTGATGTCACAGATCAAGTCGGACACTAAAGTGGTAAGGACAGATCTTAACCGGTAATATCTTGTCGTAGGGAAGAGGTTCCAGTGTGAACTCAGTGCCACTTCAATTTGCACAGAGGTGACCGGGCATTTTAAACCGACAAGAACAGACACTGGGGGTATGGTAGTAAAGGGAAAGGGGGCCATATTTATGGTGACAGAAGACGATTTGATTGTGGTGGTCGGCACACAATTGAAAAAAGAACAGACAGACACTGCCACTACATTTGATCTTAGCCAAAAGGCCAGAAGCAATTAGTGACTGGGCATTTAAAGAGAGGGAACTGGTATGGGCTTGGGCAGACTCAGGGGCGTGAAACATTACGAAGGGTTGGTGAGTAAACGCTCATTATGTCCGCTGTGTCTGCTGGCTGGCAGTTACTGAAGTTTGGCTTCTATCCTCCCAGAGACGAGGAGACAGAGGCCCGCCCCATCCTTCCTGAGGATTACATTTCAAAAGAATGGCGTCCAGGTCCTTGAGAAAGACACCCCTGAGTTGCAGAAGATACAAATTCATTTCAGAGGGAGAGGAAGGGGTCAGTTACAAGCCCTTTTTGGTGAAGACTCTAAGGCAGCCTGGTGTGTGGGGTCGCTGGTCTTTTAACAGCCTTGAGCTCTCCGGCCGGTGCTCTAAGGTCGGCTAGGGTCAGCCTAGGAATGCAACTCGGAGCTCTTAGAAACGATTTTAGTGTTTAACTTTTTTAATGTGGGAGGAGGGAGGTGGACGAAATCACGAGCTTGAGCGTCTGTAGTGGTTTTGTAGGTCAAGGTTGAGGCCTCGTTGAGCAGAGGGCTGAGGAGCCTGGCTAGGATTTGGTCAAGGAGAGACTCGTTTTCTCGGACACTGGGCACACACCCGCCTGGCACATGTGGGAATGGCTCCCCTGGATCTGTTCTTCGTGCAGTGGCCCTCCCCCATTGGGTGCAACCTGAGGTGTACCCCAGGGGCACAGAGGGCACTGTGATATTCACACTGGGGCAAGTGGAACCAGGACCATCCTAGGCGAAGCCAGAGTGTGGTCACCTGGTGGTTTGGCCCCAGTGACTTCTGCTCGCCCCCCTCGTCCCCTCACTCTGCTGCAGCCCCACAGGCTGCTCGTGGTCCTCCCTGCAAGGCCCTTCTCGTGGCCGGACCGGGCCCTCTGTCTCGATGCTCTTTCCTTGGGCCCTGCACAGCCAGCCTGGCTGCCTCGTCTTTCCCCTAGATTCACCTCCCGAGTTTCCTCTCCTCTGAGAAGCTTCCCTGACTGCATGAGGAACACCATGCTGCCTCGGGACCCCTAGGGCTCTTCCTGGCCCTGAACGCTGTGGCCCAGCTAACTGGTCTTCCCCGACCCCTGACACACTCCCCCCAGCCCACAGGAGGTGCCTCCGGGCTCCCTTCTCTCTGCCCATCACACACTGGCTCATAATTTCGTACCTAACATTTGTCTCTACCATCAGACCTTGCCACCCTGGGCAGAGCCGTGGTGCTGGCTGCCAGCTGTATCCTGAGTCTGGGCACAGGGGAGCAGAGAGAACGTGGCCCCTCTCCGGACCCCACCCCTTCCACACAAAAAAAGACACTCTGCTCCTCTCCACTTTTCACAAAAATGTATTTCTGTGACACCCCAAAGTACAGACATTTACCCAGGACCCAGGTGGTAAAGCAATGCCATGTGAGCTCTGCCCAGGGGGCTGGCTCAGGCCACCTGGGCATGGAAGGGAGGGCGAGCTGGGAACGCAGGGCAGCTGCCCCGCCCCAGGGCTGGGAGGGAAAGACTCCAGGAGGAAAAGGCCAGGTGCCTCTCCGAGGGGCTGCTCCTCGCAGAAGTGCTAGGAGAATCCAGCAACAGGCCTGGGCCAGGAGGAGGGAAGAAAAGCCACGCCCCAGGACTGGCTGCAGTCAGCCCTGCTCCAGGCCCCTGGTTCTGGAGGGGCCTCCTCACCCCACCCCACGAGAGAAGCAGTTCGGAGTTACGTTGGGGGAGCACAAGATATTCGGATACATTTGGGGCTCACACTTCTCTGGAACTCAGCCCAGAGTTTTCCAAGGTAAAGCCGCAGGGCAGCACAGGAGGGTCTCCACTGTGGGCTGTGCCGCGTGCTGGTCCGGAGGCATCTGCCTGCTGCTGCGGGGGGGGGGGGGGGGGGGGGCAGGGGGGGGCGGGAGCGCCTGCCTGAGAGGAGTGGGTCCTGTGCGCAGTGGGCAGGCAGGGCGAATGAGGCAGGCTCAGTTCTGCTGGTGGGGTGCCTGGGCACCTTGGGTGCTGTGGGCAGATGAAGGGCCAGAGAGTAACGAGCCCCTGGTCCCAGAAGGTGCTGGCTCCCAGGCCGGGGGCAGGTTCTGGATATGTTTGGCAGAGTGGGCAGTGGACCAGCCCTGGACTGGGGCCTTCAACTGCCTGGGACCTGGTGGGAGACAAGCAGCCTCCGTAGCAGCTTGGCCTCAGGCAGGCCTGGCCAGAGCAGCAGGGCCACTGGGAGCCCCGCTCCTGGAGGGGCCTCTAAGGCCGGGGCTGCCTGGGTGTAGGCCGAGGCACAGCTCACTTCTTTGCCCCAGATGGCCCACAGCTGGGAGCACCAAGGCATTCAGGAGACTCAGTGGGGTTGGTTTTAATCCCTAAACTCCATCAGCTGCCCGCAGGAACCCAGACACGGTTCTCAGGCCCTGCTGGGTGGGCTAGGTGCTGGAGTGTTAAAAGCCTGCTGCCTCCCCGAAGAGGAAGCCAGGCCAGGGTCTGAGATAACTGGGGAACCGGACACTCGCATCGTTAGAGGCATTTAGTTGGGGGGAGGGAGTGTGGCAGCGATGAAGGCTGAGTTAGGGCTTGAGAATGGCCAAGGAAGCTGCAAGGACTCAGGGAGTGTTTCTTTTGTTTTTGTACAGAAATCATATACACAAAACTTCACACTTCCTAACAAAAAAAAATAATATATATATATAATATATATATCTCACTAATGTTAAGGAAAAGCGTCAGTTGTGCAAAAGTCCTCGTGTCCCTTCATCCAGTGGGAGGCTCCCGGGGGGTCTGCCGGCGGGGCTGTTGAGTGCTGCCGGCCGGCCTGTGTCCAGAGCAGTGGCGGCTATGGGACAAGGCCTCTATCTGGACGTGTCCATGTTCTCCTCCTTAAAGTTACCGCAGTGCTCGATCACCTTTCTGGAGACAACGGGAGAGCATTGGAAGGCGGGCTGGGGTCGGCTGGGCCATGTCCCTCCCCGCTGATCAGGCTGCTGAATTTGTTAGCAAATGTTAACAATGATGCTGACTGAGATGGTGTGTGGCTGGCAGAGCGGCCGGCCTGTGCAGAGCACCCAGGAAACGGTACCTGTGGCCATCAGTACCCTGTCTTCCCTGCCTTCCTCCCTGTGTCCTGCCCCCTCTCGGCCTCAGGGACTCCCCTGAATCAGCTCAAGCCTGACCTCCAACCCCCCCAATCCTTTCTTCAGCCTGTCTTTCTTCTTCACTTTTCCCTGCACACAGGCCTTTTCTTCCCCGAAGTCTACTAATGGCCCCCAGACTGCACACCAGACTCCCAGGGCCGACCGACATCCTGCAGCATCTGGGAACAGCCATTCGTGCTGACCTCGAGTCCTTCACCCACTCCGTTCTGGCCCCTGGGATCTGCTGCCCCACCACTCTCAGGTGTCACCCTGGACCCCGATGGCCTTCCCATGGGTGGGTGGGTGGCGGTGCTGTTCACTGCAGCCTCTAAGTGCTAAGGGGCGTCTGAAGCGTTTTAGGAAGTAAGGGATGCCTGGCGTGGGCAGGAGCCGGGACGAGGCGGCGTGACTGCTCCTAAGCGCCCTGTCCGTGCCAGTCACAGCTGCTGTCACACAGGCCAGCTCAGGCACACCCTCGGGTCTTACGGAGAGGTCCAGTGACCGGGCCAGTCTTACCCAGTGCTTCCCAAACCTCCTGGGACCCCGGTGACAGCGAATGTCCCCAGGCCCACCTCCCACACCCACTGGGGGGGAACATCCAGGTTGGGGCCTGTACATCGCAAACAGTCTTTCCAGATGATTCTTTAGGGAAATTAATGTGAGAACCATCATTTTGCTCTTCTTAAACTCAGATAAATCTGTCAATTAATGTTTAAGCTGTGCCTTTTGCCAAAAAGAACTGCAGAAACAGCCAACACTCCCAGCCCAGTCATGTCTTGGGAGACTCAGAGCTCCAGGCCCCTCTCCACGACCCTCTATTCTGCACCGTGTCAGGAACTGGGGTAAACTTAAGCCGCTCCCTCCTAGAATGGGTCCTAGAGAAAGCAAGGGTCACTGTGAGGTCAGCCCAGTGACGTCTTAGACTCCAGTGAAAACCCCACCGCCGCGCAGGGCCTGACGCTCTGAGGGACCTCGCCTTCAGGCACGTTCGCCAGGCCCCGCCTCATCTCTAGTGTGTATGTCACCACACTGCGTCCTCCCTTCCGCTGGAATGTTTTTAGCCAGAAATAATGAAAGATTCTGATTTGACTTGTGGATGGCCACACTGTGGCTGAAACGACACTCAGGGAGGCCCCAGCTGGACATCAATATGCTGTCCACCTCCACACTCACCTCATGTCCTGACCGCCCGCAGTGTCCCTCAGCCCCCAAATCAAGGCTCCAGCAGAAACACTGCCTGTCTCTTACCGGGCCATCTCCTTGGTTTCCTGCCGCGCCGTGGCCATCTTTATCATGTCCTTCAGAAGGGGCATCCCACCTTCTTTGATCAGCAGGGGGCAGTACTTATCCGCTGTGGGTAGGTAGGGGCAGACAGCAGGGGATCAGGGTGGGTCTTCGCTCAGCTTGTGGCCCAGAAAACCCTCCCTTGCTGTGAGGCCTGCCCTCTCAGAGAGGTGGGAAGGCGCAGGCCTGCATGAGGGCCCTGCTCTAATCTGGGAAGAGCCATGTCTGCCCAGCCCGAGTTGACGGGGGGGGGGGGGGGGCAAGGGGTGAATCCTTGGAAAAGTTCCTCCCAACTCTGGTACGCAGCAGCATTCCCCCTCCCCCCAACTCTCTCTATGGGAAATATCACCTGAACTGGGGGCTTCTGTTCTCTGGGAAGTTTTGTAAAAATATAGATTCCTAAGCTTTGCCCTGGGTATTCTGATTCAACAGATCCAGGAACCGTTATTTGTGTGTTTATAACAAAATACCACCAGGTGACGCTGGTGGTCACCAGGGCGGAACACCGTGCCTTTCCAGTGGGGGTTTCATGGGGTTTCATGGTTCCCTCCAACCAGGAGCATTCGAGTGCCTGGTGTCCATGGAGAACACAGCGTTCCAATGGGCCTGCAGCAGCTCTGTGTGGCAGGAACTATCTTTACTGTCTCCATTTTACAAATGAAAGAACTGGGGTTCAGAGAGATGAAGTAATTCACCCACAGTCACTCCAGCGCTTGTCCGAGGGAGTCCCAGTTCAGGGCTCTTTCCTCTGCTACGTGGCCTCTTTGAGGTAAGGTGCTACTTTTTAGTAAGACTAACCTCAAAGAATAATAAAAGAGGCTACTGTTTATTGAACAGCCGGTATGTTCTAAGTGCTTTAACATGCCTTTTTTCACAGCGATCCTATGAGGTAAGTGCTATTATTATTATCCCATCTTAAAGATGAGACAGTTAAGGCACAGAGAGGTTGAGAAACCTGCTTAAAGTAACACAGCAAATGGTAGAGCCAGTTTTCAAACCCGGGTTGTCTGCCCCCTGAGCCCGAATGCATATCTGCTCTGCAGGTTAACAGGACTGAGCAGTGTGCAGGCGCCAGGCTCAGCACTTTCTGCTGGTTCTCTTTTCAGATCACTCTTATGAGGTAGGAGATATCATTATCCCCATTTCACAAAGGAGGTTGAAGAACCCGCATCAGGTCACACAGCAGTAAGGGAGGGAACTCGGGGTCACGCCTGGTCTGTCATCTAAGTCTTAGCGAGGCACCCTCTTTCTCACGTCCCCCAAAGTCGCCGAGCCGAGGACAGCTCAGGCTCTCCTACGGGAGGAGGCTGGGGCTCTCTGAGGAAGAAGTTAGAGCTCTTCTAAGGTTCTCTCCCGTTCTCTCGGATTCTTTGTGTAGGTGGGTCTCCCTCTGCCTTCCCGAGGACGTGGAGATTTCTGCCTGTTCATTCACATGGAAGCAGGAGACGTTACGAGAGCTGTCTGGGAACTCTGGGTGGCCGTCTCGCCTGCCAGGCCTGTTCTCGTGATGGGGCCAGGCCAGCCACTATGCTGTGCGCCCCACAAATGCTGGAGAGCGAGGGCTGTGCTCCGAGGCACAGACACTGATTTTAGCTCAAAGGAGGGCACGGCTGGGTTATACGCTTCCGGAGGGCAAGGCTGCCCTCAGTCGGGGTGTCCCTGGCTCTGACGAAGGCCCACTGGTCACGGTACTCACGGTAGACAGACACAAGGTTGTACAGGGCCCAGGTGGCCCAATGCTGGCTGACGGGGGAAATGCCCTGGGGAAGGAGGCGAAGAATTGGCTCAAACGACCTGTGGGAAGAGAAATCAAGGTCACTCTGGTGCCGGGGCTGAGGGAGTGCATCTTGACATTTCTCCTCCCTGCGGGGTCCTGTAGACAAACTGTGAGCAGGCCAGCAGGGCACAGGGGATGCGGGCATCTGGTCTTCAACCCACTGCAGGCTCCGCAAGGCCGCTCCCTTGTGCGGTGCAAGAGGTCAAGGGCCCGGACACATGAGGGAGGTAAGAGGGACACTGACGAGGTGGTGCAGAAATGGGGGCCTCAGCAAGGAGTGGCCCAGCCTACGGGGGGTGGGAGTGGGGCTGTGCCCTGGGAGGCTGAAGGTGTAACCGCACTGCTGACCATGACCTTCCCTGGGCCATCAGCACTCATGTCCAAAAGCCCCCAAAACGTATTTGCAACCCCCCTGGGGCAGTGATCCACTTCATCTCTCCTGGGGACGCCATAACTGGGGCGTCACCAAAGCCATAGCATGAGCCCCTTCCTCCCAATATGGGTTTCAACTTCAGTGCCAATCAGATGGGCCACCCGCCCATAGTGACCCAGTCATCCCCACCAACAGAAAGAAAAAAGAAAGAAAGAGACCCAGTCATAACACGACGAGGGAGACCCCGACCTGAGGCTGGAAACGGAGCCACAGAGAGCGCGCCTTGACGCCAGCTGCGCTGAAAGGAATGAAATCTGCACGGAACAGGGGCGGGAAGGGAGACACGGACCCAGAGCTCTGCTCTCTGCCTCAGTAAGACCCGGCAGAGGACTAGAAGACAGGCCAGGGGCTCCGACCAGACCGTGCAGGCAAAGAGCGTCCTGTCCCAGCACCGCACTCCGCCCCCCCCCGCACCCCACTCCGCACCTGTAATTGATATTTCTCCGGGAGTTGATGTCCCAGCTCTGGATGGCCGCCCACATGCGCTCCTCCACCTCCTCCCGCTGGGGTTCGCAGATGCCCCAGGCCTCAGGCCCATCAAACATGATGTGGGACAGGACGCCGCAGGCATTGTAGGAAACCTCAATCCCATCAGCCTTGCTCTCCAGCAGATTGCTGCCAAGAAGGGAGAGAAATGGAGTCCAATTCCCCCCAAGTCCCTCTGCAGATACCAGCTGCTGGAGCACAACTTACAAACCACCTGCCAGAGGCACTACTGATTTTTTTGTCACTTACTGTCCATACCCAGAGGACTTGTAGAAGGGATCTGAGGGCGCTAATGTAAGATTAGCCACTAGAGGACCATTTCTGGAGAGCTCAGAGGATAAGAAACTATACTATAGAGCAGTGATGGCGAACCTATGACACGCGTGTCAGGGGTGACACGTGAACTCATTTTTTGGGTTGATTTTTCTTTGTTCAATGGCATTTAAATATAGAAAATAAATATCAAAAATATAAGTCTTTGTTTTACTATGGTTGCAAAGATCAAAAAATTTCTATATGTGCCACGGCACCAGAGTTAAGTTAGGGTTTTTCAAAAGGCTGACACGCCGAGCTCAAAAGGTTCGCCATCACTGCTATAGAGGGAAGGTAATATTTATAACAAAAACCTAGGCTAAGAGCAATTGCTGCTACTAAGCACAGACTAGAACTCTGAGCATCCTGGCAGCCAAGGCAAAAAGGCAAAGGAGAGAAGCACCAACCTGAAGACACTGATGAACTGGGAAGTCATTAGCTGGGGCCGCAGCTCCCTCACCTCTGCCACATTTCCCAGGAGTCCCAGCATGTTCCGATGTAGTTCCTGCTTCTCGGGGAATTCCTGGCCAAATGAGAGCCATCGGGCCACATCAATTAGTACTTAATCAGTCTGGTATGCTTAACTTAGACGCTTTATGAGCGTCTGTCTGGCCATTCCGATAGACAAAGAGGGGGTGCAATATGATGCCCTTCTGCCTTCTAGTGCTCCCAGGGCAGTGCTGGGTACACACAACGAGGGATTAAAATGGTGGGGGCTCCTTGCCACAAAAATCAAAGGCTGAGTGGAGATGGGACCTAACATTGTGAATGGGACAAACATGGTTCTGTTCATCAAAGCTCAAAATACCAGTTTTGTTCTGGCCAGTGTGCTCAATGGTTAGAGCGTTGCCCTGCGCACCGAAGGGTCTCTGATTCGATTCCCAGTCAAGGGCACGTACCTGGGTTGCAGTTTACTCCCCACCCCTTGTTGGGGCACGTGCATGAGGCAACCAGTCGATGTGTTTCTCTCACATGGATGTTTTTCTCTCCCCCCCTTCCTTCCACTCTCTCTGAAAAACAATGGACAAAAATATCCTCATGTGAGGATAACAAAAAATAAAAATTAAAAAAATACTAGTTGAATGGAATCCCCTTAGAAAGTAGAGTAAGAAAACAAAGGATGTGTTTCAGGATGAACAGACCATTCTACTGGACAGAACTCTGTCCAGCTGATGTCCCGATGGGCCCCGGCCAGATGGGGCGGCCTGAGGCGGCGCTGTGGAGGGCGGGCGGTTTCCCGTGGAGGGAGGGCTGTAACAGGGGCCCAGCCAGGCCGCTGGGGCAGGGAAGGCCTCTGGAGCTTCTGTTTGCAGCAAACCCTGGGCTGGTGGGCCTGTGAGTGGCCCCTGCTGGCCTCGGGTGGGAACCCCCGGGGGCGGGGGCCTGGGGACCGGAGTGGCGCGTGGAGGGCCCGGAGGCTGCGGCGGGGACACCACCTTCAGGCAGTCCAGGAAGAGCTTCATGCCGCTGCAGTTGAGGAACATCTCGCAGTTGTCGGGCGTCTCGTCCGTGATGTTCCAGAGCGCGCTCCAGGAGAACTCCATGACCTGGTCACACTGCGGGCGGGCGGGCGGGAGAGGGGGCTCAGCACAGCTCGCCGGGACGGGCGGCTCCTGGTACCCAGGGAGGGCTCCCCTGACAAAACATGGGCACCCCCGAGGCAAACCAGTCCCATGAGGGGCTCCAGGAAGACTCCACTTACTATCTTGTCTAGCAGCTTCTTCTGAATGAGCTTCAGCATGGTCTGTGGGCAGAGAAGAGAACTTGCAGGGGCCAGGCCTTAAGCGCTCCCATGTCCCTCGGCCACACCCAGGAGCGACAGCAATTCTATTCCTGGCCAATACACCCTGACAAGACCAAACCTGCCCGTCTGCTGGGAGGCTGTGGGAAGAAGTGCAACCCACAGACTTGGTCCTTGGCATCAGGAGGCCTGGGTGCTCGTCCTGGCTCAACCCTGACTCCC